CTCATGATATCAGACTTGTAGTTGCAGGGAGTGGGGAGTTGCAGGGAGGGGAAAGGAAGGAAGGTGGTAAATAGGAACAAATTTCCAGTTATAAATAAATACTAGGAATGTAACATACAACATGATGACTACAGCTATCCCCACTGTGTGATATATACCATAGAGTATACCTTGGTATATATACCAAGAGTAAATCCTAAATCCTATGAGTTCTCATCACAAGGAGAACAATTGTTTTCCTTTTCTTTTCTTTCCTTTTCTTTATTGTATCTATAGTGAGAAGATGGTTGCTAGCTGAACTTATTGTGGTAATCATTTCACAATATATGTATATTAAACCACCATGCTGATACCTTAAACTTTTACAGTAATGTTGGGGCGCCTGGGTGGCTCAGTTGTTAAGCGTCTGCCTTCGGCTCAGGTCATGATCCCAGGGTCCTGGGATCGAGCCCCGCATCGGGCTCCCTGCTCTGCGGGAAGCCTGCTTCTCCCTCTCCCACTCCCCCTGCTTGTGTTCCCTCTCTCGCTGTGTCTCTCTCTGTCAAATAAATAAAATCTTAAAAAAAAAAAAAAAACTTTTACAGTAATGTATGTCAATTATTTCTCAATAAAACTGAGGAAAAAATAAATAACTCAATTAGAAATGGGGAAAAAATCTAAATAGTCATTTCTTTCAAAAGGTATATAAGTGGCCAATAGAGAAAAAGATGCTTAACATAATTAGCCATTAGGGAATCAAAACCACAAAGAAATACCACTTCAAAGCCCCTGAGGTAGAAAAAAGAAAAAAAAAAGGACAAATGACAAATATTGGCAAGAGTCCACTGCTCCTCAGAATGTAAAATGGTGCAGCCAATTTGATAAACAATTTCACTGTTACCCAAAATGCTAAACATAAGAGTTATTCTGTGACCCAGCAATCCTCCTCCTAAGTATATATCCAAAAGAGTTGAAAACAAATGTCCACACAAAAGCCTGTAACGGAAATGTTCATCACAGTGTTAGTCCCAATAGCCTCAAATTAGAAACAACTCAAACGTTCATCAGTTGATGGACGTGTAAAGAACATGCGGTATTATCATACAATGGACTGTTTCTCAGCTTCAAGAAAGAATGAAGTATTGAAACACTCTAGAACTTGGATGAACCATGAATGTGCTAAGTGAAAGAAAACAGAAAAGACCATGTATTGTATGATTCCATTTAAATGAACTATGAGAAAGCAAGCCAATCTACAGAGACAGAAAGTAAATTAGTAATTGCCTACAGCTGAGGGTGGAGGCCAAGGGCATGGAGAACCGACCTAACAGTGGGTGCAGGGTTTCTTTTTGGGGTGATGAAAACATTCTAAAGTTGATTGTGGTGATGGTTACACAACTCTGTGAATATACTAAAAACACTGACTTGTACACTTTAAGTGGGTGAACTGTATGATATGTGAATTATATCTCAATAAACCTGTTAAAATGCTGTATGGCTTGTAAGACATAAAAATATACACCAGCACTACAAGGTAATAACAGAGATACCCAACATGCATAGCTTATAACCTACTTAAAAACAGGAGACAACATTATGGAGCTGATAAAATGCTTCTTCAGGTTCTCCTACTAGGATTATTGAACCAAATTCAAAATATATTTTGAGTGTGCATACCAAATACAAAAATTATCTGTGTTCATTAGACATGGGCTTAAGCCATCGAGCTGCTGATTCTGCACAGCCATATCCACATTTCATGCTGATCCTGCATTTTATTGTCACTACATTAAAATCAATTTTATGAGCAACTGTATACTCTTAACAAGTACTTTTAAAAAAATGTTGAAATGCCTGCTCATAAACCTATATAAGTCCAAACAGGAGCCTTCAGAGTGAAGTAAATAAAGTTCAGCAATTTTGAATCTTTTGGAAAGCAGAGTTTTAGATATGAAATATTTATGCCCCCTTATGATTTAAATCTAATGACTATCATGATTGCAAAGTAATTGATTATTATTTAGAAATCTTGCTGGGAAATCCTAAAATATTACCTGCAAAGCTTTACATTTTAAGACCAAACTATTGCTTTCTTTAAAATCTTTATCTGCATGTTTTCCCCATAAACTTAGAGATTCAGGAAAAAATAATTACAGAAGGCCCATCATCAAAACCATTTAAAGCTTACTGTTCAAAATGCTGTTGTACCATACATTACCCTGGTACAGAGCCTGTTTTGCAATTCTGTGTCTCTTAAGAGCAGTTTGCAAAGCCATTTAGGTATTAGTACCAGTATTCTCCAAAGGAGAGACCATAAACACCATTTCTATGGCTATAGGCAGCTGAGCTTGGAAAGAATGAACAAAACTGTGGGAGACACATTTTGGGAGGTTCTGATAGAAGGACAAGCATTAAGTAAGTCTTTATATCTTACTGAAGACAATGACTCAGATGCTGCAGCATGGAAGGAGCCACACGTCAGGGGCTATTTTGTTGGCCGATGGCCAGATGTAGAACAAACCCAGGATAGAGAACAAGACAGACCCCTGCAAACTTGGCCTCATCCATTGCATCTGCAGCAGGGCGAAGGTTGCTCTGAGTAACGGGGGGCACTCAGCACATAGCAGGCATGCATCATTCCTCTATTTTCTTTAACCTCCTGGTAAGAGGTGAATCTGAGGTGGGATCATTTATGTACATTAGAAGATCCCATGGCATTTTTCCAAGCCCAAGGCTATTACTCTGAGGATTTGGCCAAGTTCCAACTCAGGTAATTATATTCCGCTTGCTAAATTTGCCCTGCTGTTCCAGTTAGGTACAGCATTGTTCGTTTTCCTGACTTTTCAGAAAAAAAAGGGAGAGAAATTCTTCTTGAACTCACCAGTCTTGCAGACAGAAGAAAGGCAAATGTAATGTGTTACAAAAGTAATGTCTGCCTCAGTAAGGAACAAGATGATTGCGGTGTTTGAACTTTGGTGCTGTGGCAAGCTCTGAGCACCAGATAAAGATCACAGAGAGAGCAAAATCCCTCTGGATGGAATCAGATGACTGTGCCATGATACCCTCATCAGATAACGACCACAAAGGGCTCTCGGTAACTACCACAGAGAATGAGCTCATGATCTCTTCAAACCAGGCAACAAAAGCAGAGACACTTCTGCAAATGTTTGTATCTTTAATATCATTGCAGGTATAACCACTTTCTCAGGAATTGGGGTAGGGACCACCAGCACAAATCCAGGAATGTTTGAACCAGCCAGTCTCTCTCTCTCTTTAATGCTGGGGACTCTAAAAATAAAGCAGGCTGTCATCCCTCACACGGCCAAAGATTTAAAGTCTGACAATATCAATTTTGGGCAAGGATATAGGGAAAATAAAACTCCCATGTGCACTGGTGGGAATATAAACTGGTTCAGACACTTTTCATAGCAATTTGGCAGCATCTAGTAAAACTAAAAGTGTTTCTATCCTACATTCCAGCCATTCTGCTTCTAAGAATATACTCTACTGAGGTTCTTGTACATTGTACCCAGAGGCACTCACACAGATGTTCACTGTAGCCATGTTTGTCATAAAGAACAACTGGGAGAAAAAACTAAATGTTTGTGGAAGAATAGAAAAATAAAGCATAGTATATTCATACGATATAATATCATGGATTGACCTAAAAAACATAACGCTAAGTGGAGAAAAAAAATACAGAGTAATTTGTACAGCTGGATACTATTCATTCCAATTTACAGAAGGTAAACATTACCTTCTTACTTTTTATGAACCAGAGTGATTATGGGAAAAAGCACACCTCCATGCATGTACACAGGCATGCACACACATGCCCACACACAGACATTTGCAGTATTTTGGTTGCTCAGCTCTCAAAGCACTATTCTGGGGTTGGGAAATGCCCCACTGTATGTTTTTTGGTAAAAGTCTTGGCCTAACTCCCAGGACAGAAGGCAAAAAAAGCCACAGTGGGATTTCCTAGATGACCCGATTGCTAGCAAGGGAATGAGCACATGATCTAGCTTGCCAACCCTGATAATCCCACTCGGGGTCTTGAGCCTAAGACCAAGGAGGCAAAGGTACGGAGACAGTGACAAATGTTCCGGCAGGTGACAAGGGTCAGGTGGCCAGAGAGTAGGCTATAGCACCCCTGCCCCCACAGATGGCCCCTCAGGCATAGCAGTCACCATGGTTCTGGCTGCAGTCTCTCTTTTGGTTCCCACCCATTACTGGAGCCTAGATCACCGATGTTCCCTGTGATTCTATTTGCCACCAATTCCATTTCTATACAAAGCTTTTCTGCTTGAAGCAGCTACATCTGTTTCTGCTGCTTGTGGAATACGAACCTTACAGATGGAGGAGGCTGCAGCAAGCTCACCCAGTGGTGGCCCCAGGACAGGCAAGGGAGAAATGGGACTGGCTTACATGCAATATTTTATTTTGATTTAATGACAATGGTTCAGATACAAATATGACATCCTGTTAATAGCTGTTCATACTGAACAGCAAAAAAAAAGGGGGTGTGTTTATCACCCATTGGAATTTTTAAAGTATTAATTTTTAAAAGATGAAGTTCAGGCCATTTCTGGAGTCCCTAAGTGGTTCAGGTACATTTCTTGTATTTGACAGATCCCAGGCCTGTTTGGGGTCATGCTGTTTGAAAGTATGCCAGTAATACACTGAATTTAGGAGCAAAATGCACAGATTCTCAATGTTCAACTTGTGCTTCTATTTAAAAGGGAAATCCACAGATCATTGCAAGGATGTTTGATTATACCAAAGCAGGCCATTAGTCCTCATTCCTAATCTTCATTTTAGAGACGCTCAGTTACATACAATGAATGACACACAAAATAGATGTTTTTGGACTTCTGGGCTAACAAAGCAACACTTAAAGACTTGTCAGGAATTCTTTTAGCAGGATAACTTCTCCCCAGGTTTCAGTGTCATCTCTTAATCTGTAACATAAATATGCCCCCAACGATGGACCCAAATGTGTAAGAGTTGAGGCAACTTACTGCACGGATGTCCTAATACCTTCACTTCATCAATAACAAGGTAGCCTTGATGTCCAGAAGTTATCACTTCAAAAACCACCTGGAAAATTAAGAAAGATTTATATTATTCACTCATTTTGTCAGAGTTTTACCAAATGTCTCCTACATATAAATGTAGGTTGTTCATTCATTCATCATGTTTCTAACAACCATTAATGGAGCATCTAATATCTGCCAATCAATGTTCCAGGTTCTAAGATGACAAAGATAGAAAAGATCCCAATCCAGTTTTCAGAGAGGTTAATGGGAAGGGCTGGGTCAGACATCATCCTACCTCAAGACTCACCTGGTAAGGACGTAATACCACGGTTAAGAGCTGATATTTGGAAGACGGAGGCTTAAAGTCATTTACCATAGATGATGTTGAGATTTAAATTGTTTTAAGAGAACATATTTTCTGGTCAACTCCTTTGAGAGGATTCTATGACCATGCTGAACCATGTGGGGCCCTGGGTTTTATACAACTAAAATGAAAAAAACTACCATAAGTGCTGTGAAAGAAAAGTACAGGGTACTAGAATAACATATACCAAAAGGACCTCCTGTGAGGAGGTTGCAGTTCTCCTAACAGCTGATTATGAATGAGGAAGGAGAGTAAGGCTTCTTCCTGGGCATCTGCAAAGGCCCTGAGGTGGACATGGCCATGGCCATGAAGAGGAATATTGGGACATATAACTGTAAAAGTCAGCTGTGACCAGGTTGCAGAGGCTCCTCTCCTAGGACAGGGATTCCAGGGAAGACACTATATTAGTAATATAAAGACGCTATGGCTGCTGAAACTCAGATGGCAGAGATATGAATTAAGAGCAGAATGACATAAAGATCTCTACAATGCTAAAATCAAGAGGTCTTTAGCAACTGCTTGATCATGGGAAAAGTAAGGCAGAAAAAGAAGGGCAACATGATCTGAAGTTCTCAGAATGAATGATATTTTTGAGATTGTAGAGTCACTTCAGAGAAATTGAGGTTAAAGGGGAAAAAAAGCAGTAAGAAGTTATCAATGTTCTTAACATGATTGTCTGAAGTTGTCTAATATGGCTATTATTAAAAAGGTCCACATGACATTATTCTCATCTCCATTTACACATATCTGCATCACCAAGGAGACTGTGGCTCATGCAAAATAAATTTGCTAAGTCTTAAAAAAAAACAGCAACTGCACTCTTGGAGAAATGAAGGTTCATTCCTACAAAAATCTGTACACAAATGAAAAGCTTCACTCATAGTAGCCAAAACCTGGAAACAGCCCAGATGGCATTCAATGGTAAATAATAATGCAGACTGTCATACATCCATAGCATGGAATACTACTCCACAATACCAAGGAAATAACTATTGATGAGGATGAGCTCTAGAGAATTATGCTGAGTGAAAAAGCCAATCACAAAGATTACCTACTATATGATTCCATTTATGCAGCATTGTGTAAAGTCAACATTTTTGAAGGGAGGGCAGATTAGTGGTTGCCAGGGCTTAGGGATGGAGGAAGAAGGGACGGGAGGATGGTTACAGGATAACACAAGTTGAGTAATCCTTGTGATGCTGGAACCTTTAAGGTTTTTGCTGTAGTGATGGATGCACAAACCTCCTCAGGTAATAAAACTGTATAGTTCATAGCAGCTTTATTTGCAATAGCTAAAACACGGAAGCTACCAAGTATCCACTGATGGATGAATGGGTAAGCAAAATGGGGTAAATACATACAATGGAATATTATTATTCAGTCTTAAAAAGGAAGGAAATTCCAACACATGGTATGACGTGGAGAAACCTGGGGAACATTATGATGGGTGAAATAAGTCAGCCACAGAAGGGCAAATACTGTATGACCCCACATATATGAGTTACCTGGAACAATCTAATCCAGAGAGACAGAAAGCAGAATGATAGTTGCCAGTGGCTGAAGAGAGGGGCAATAGGAAGTTACTATTTTACAGAGGCAGAGTTTCAGTTATGCAAGATGAAAAGAGTTCTGGAGATGGATGCTGGTGATGGTTGCACAACATTAAGAAGGTATTTCATACCACTGAACTGTATACTTAAACATTATTAAGATGATAAATTTTATGTTATTTGTATTTTACTACAGTAAAAAAAAAAGCAAAAAAATGTATAGAACTAAATACACACACATGCATGCACAAAGTAAATGGGAAATCTGTAAAATGGGAAATCTGAAAAAGCTCTGTAGATTTCAACCATGTCAATATCCTGGTTGTGATATTATACTTTCGGTTTGCAAACTGCTACCATTGGAGGAAACTGGGTACTATGTACATAGGAATCTGTATTATTTCTTACTGCTGTATCTGACTCCACAATTATCTCCACAAAAATTTTAACTTAAAAAATTAACTATAAATTACCATTTACTAAGCACATAATACAGTACATACACTGGGCCAGTATCACCCCATTATCTTATTTATCAGTTCATGAAAAAATTCTTCAAGGATTAATATTTGAAGAACAAAGAGATTCAGATACAAAATAATTGTTAAAAACCCAGGCTTTCTGGATGTTTTCACTACTACACATTGCCTGAACAAACACTTCAACCCTAGGACTGCATTATTTATGTGTGTGCAGTGGGTATAAAAATGGAGAAAGCAATCAGCAAAGCCCAAAATGGAAAAGCTCAGGGGGCTCCCTAGATAAGAAGTCATCCCAGAAACACCTGCTAGACTAGATGACCCTGCACCACGATGTCACAACACTGAAATACAAAACATACAGGGGAGAGGAGAGGACCAAAGTAGAACAGAAATGAAAACAAAACAAAACAAAACAAAAACACTTTGTCCTATTCGTAAGTATATATATATTTTTTTCACTGATGACACAGAGAAAGGAAGAGATGCATGCACAGTATTACAATCTGTAATCTTGCATATTTCTCTCTCTGCTGAAGTCTAGGACAGTTGAGAGAACAAAAAGCAGATGAGCCCTGAGAGCAAGTGGGGGCAAGAGCCCTCCAGAAGCCCTCCAAGCTGGGGCCTTGGGAGGAGACAGCAAGAGCAGGCAGCACAGGACGCAGCCGCCTGCTCTGCTGACAATGGCCACTGCATAGACCTATGTCCATGACCACCAGCTACCCAAGAACTCCATGGCCCTGGTCATGGAAAGGGTATTTTTAAAGCCAAAACCAGACATGTTCATCCATCCTTCCTTCCTCCCAGCTGACCTCCCTTCCTTCTTCCCTCCCTCTTACACATTCATTCAATTCAAGTTTCCACTGGGTGTCCTCTTTCTTCCACGCACCATGGTAAGTACTGTGATAAGCATCATGAACAGAACAGATGCAAAACTGTCCTTCACAGCAAACCATATTTTTACTTTATCAACTACAAGGGTTGAAGCTTCTTATAAAAATGGAATAATCTTTATTATTTAAGAGATATGCTAACTCTTAGAATATACTGTACATACAAAAATGTTCATGTGGATCTATTTTTGAAGTTGCCATGTGTAAATTCAAAGCACAATATTTCATTTAAACCAATACAGGACCATGGCCCTATGAAAGAATGGGAGAGAAAGAAAGGAGGGGAAGAAATGAGAGACCTTGATAAGTCACCCTAAAACCTTTGAACCTGCTTTTTTCATTTATCACATTCACAGAATTTATGACCCTCAAAGATTCACACTCAAAGATTCTGAGTCTTATTGTCCAACTATTTATAGAATATTTACTGTAAGCTCTGAAAGGGATCCAAAAAATATTAGACAATTTTACGAAATTTAGGCTTCAGGTCCACAAAAAATAAGGAACACAATGAACAAACAGAACAAGACGATGGCCAAGTAACAGGTGGGAACAATAAAGAGCTCATAGGACTGTGATCTTTCTCCACCACAGGACTGTCACCTCCTCCTTACCCAACCAGCCAGGACACCTCTGACACAGCCAACACAACCTTCAATCCATTTCTCACCCTGCTCATTAAACTCACAGATGCCCCCAAAAGGACTTACAAGTGTCCCTGCTGGACTGGAGGCAGAGAGACTCAGCAGCATGCCCATGCACTCCAGATTCCCAGCAAGACGACTTGCCAGTGAGGCCACAACAAAAGAATCAAACACAGATTTGTTTCTGAAACTTTATCTGTTCCCCTCAGTCTTCTAAAGGCATCTCATTGCAAATACACCAAGAGAACAATGGACTGATCCATTCAGTTAATTAGAAATTTTAGAAAGTAAACTTCGAAAGCTTGGCAGATTCCAACACTGACTTAACTTAGTTTCCCTAACTGTAGAGACAAAAAGGACAAAATATCTTCAGAGATAAGTTTATGTGTGTCCACACACCTCACACACATGTATATATTGACATACAATATACCAATAAAATTTTTACATGACACATTTAGATATTATACCTAAGAAGGTGCATTATGTGTTGCAAGTTTGGAAGCAATAACGCCAATGCTTCTTTCCAAAAACTGAAGCAAGTTTTTCAAAAGACCATTTTCCACCTCTTTTTTAGTAATTTTAGTTAAAGGGCTTATGAGTACAAGTTTTATTAGCTGCTTCATCAAGTTTATAACTTAGTGTATAAATAAATGTTTCAACACATACCACAATTATAAAGTAGGTCTGATTTGTACTGAAAAGTTTGCTATTTTGAAATAAATATGATTGAATGAAAATTCCTGAATTTAGGTGCTCTACAACAATCTTAGACTGACTGCTAACTTGATTTGAACATCTGACCAGTAAGAGATTCACTCTGTTGCTTCTAACAAACACGAGGGTTAAGACATGCAGCTGAGAACATAAGGCCTATTTTAAATAGGTTTCTTAAAAACAGATTTTAGACTCCCATAAAAAGGTTTCCTTGTCTTGAATTCTTGTTATCTGGCAAGTTTTTCATTTTGTACTTTTTTCTAGCCAGTGCCCTTACTAAGAAAGCTCCAAAAGCAAAAATATTTTGGTCTGTTTTTGTCAAATAAGGAACTACTCTATTGAAAGTACAGGTATTGCTCTAGTGAAGTATAACAAGTATATGCAGAACCCAGCGGGAGTCCCTGGGATGTCTGA